CTAATCTGACTAGACCAGAGGATGTACATTGGTACAGATAGGAACTGGAAACACAGGGAATCCAGGACAGATGACCGCTTCAGGACCAGTGGTGAGAGTGGTGATACCTGCAGGGTAGAGGGAAGGTGGGATAGAAAGGGGGAACTGATTACAAGGATGTACATATAACCTCCTCCCTGGGGGGTGGACAACAGAAAAGTGGGTGAAGAGATGTCAGACAGTGTAAGATGACAAAATAATAATAATTTATAAATTATCAAGGGTTCATGGGGGTGCGGGAAGGGAGGGGGAAGATGAGGAGCTGATCTTAATGGCTCAAGTAGAAAGCAAATGTTTTGAGAATGATGATGGCAACAAATGTACATATGTGCTTGATACAATGCATGTATGGATTGTGATAAGAATTGTACGAGCCTCTAATAAAATTATTTTTAAAAAATCAGACAGTTGAAAAATAAAATGTCAGACAAGAAAAAAAATTAGCTAAGGATCAATTTTGATGTGGTTTCAGTCTCCTAAATTTAAAATAATGCAACAATTAAAACCAAGTATTACTGAAAAAAAATTAATTGTCTCTATGTGGATGTTTTTATTTCTGGGCTTTCTGTCCTGATCCATTGGTCCAAGATCCTATCATTATACAGGTACCAGGTTGTTTTGACAACTGTGGCTGTCTAGTAGGTTTCGAGGTCAGGTAGTGCAGGTAGGTCAGGGTTGTTCTTCTTGAGAAGTTCTTTGCCTATCCTGGGCGTCTTCCCTCTCCAAATGAAGTTGGTAATCTTTTTTTTTTCATTTCTTTGAAGAATGATGCTGGAATTTGGATTGGGATTATATTGAATTTGTAGATTGCTTTAGGTAGTGTGGACATTTTCACTATATTGAGTTTTCTGATCCACGAACATGGAATATTTCTGTTTGTGTGGATCCCTTTTGGTCTCTTGTAGTGATCTGTAGTTTTCCTCATAAAGATTTTGTTTCTTTGAGGGGGAGGGGAAGGTGTATTAGGTTTATTCTTAGGGACTTTAACTTTTCACAATAGCGTGGCTATTGTGTTACTGATTCCTTGATATCTTTTTCTGTACTCCCCTCACTGGTATATAGGAATCCCATTAATTTCTGCTTCTTAATCTCGTATTCTGCTACGCTACTAAACTCCTCTATTGTTTCCAGCAATCCTATTGTGGACACCTTAGGATTCTCAATATATAAAATCATATTATCTGCAAATAGCAAACATTGTGCCTCCTCTTTTTTTTAATGTAAATAATCATTTTATTAGGGGCTCATACAACTCATCACAATCTGTACATATGTCATCTGTGTCCAGCACTTTAGTACATATGTTGACTTCATCA